GTGGGTATGCTTTTCATGTAGTAGATAGTCCTTCACATGAATCATACAAAAGGTAGCTGAACCCCATGTGCAACTTCCCATAGAAGCCTTCTTGCTCGTCACACCGTATACTTGCGTATGTTGCTAACAAAACCATCACAATGGCGTCAACTCATCCCGCAGACCTCAAGGTAGACGAGATCTACGACTACATCATTATCGGCGCCGGTATCTCTGGCATCAACACGGCATACTACCTCCAAGCTCACGGCCCCAAGAACGCAAGCTACGCCATTCTTGAGGGCCGTCCACGGATGGGCGGGACGTGGGACTTATTTCAGTACCCCGGCATCCGCTCCGATTCGGACATATACACCTTTGGCTTCTCATGGAATCCATGGAAAGGCGAGAACCCCCTCGCAGGCGGGCCCGAAATCTGCGCCTACCTCGAAGAATCAGCCTCCGAGCACGGCATCGACAGACACATAAAGTACAACCACCAAGTCGCCTCCGCGGACTGGAACTCGGCGACATGCAGATGGATTCTCAAGACCTCGGTCACAGGGGGAGGAGCCAACGACGGGACAAATGAAAAGCAACAGACAAAGACCATCGCCGCGCGGTTCGTCGTCCTCGGCACAGGATACTACGACTACGAACGGCCCCTCGCCGCCGCGATCCCCGGCATCGACACCTTCCAAGGCCAGCTCGTCCACCCGCAATTCTGGCCCAAGGACCTAGACTACACCAACAGAAACGTCGTCATCATAGGCAGCGGCGCCACGGCCGTCACCCTCCTCCCCAACATCGCCACCGACGCCGCGCGCGTGACGATGCTCCAGCGCAGCCCGACCTACATCATCGGCATGCCCTCTCGCAAAGCCGGTCTGCAGCGCTTCATGCTCTCCATCCTGCCGAAGTCCGTCTCGAGCCGGCTCCTGCGGGTGCAGTATTTCCTGTTGTCGTATATCTTGTACTACTACTGCCAGTTGTTTCCCGGCTCCGCGCGCCGGTTCCTGTTGGGCGCGGCGAAGAAGCAGTTGCCGCCGAATATCCCGCTCGATCCGCACTTTAAGCCGCGGTATAATCCTTGGGAACAGCGCCTCTGCGTGTGTCCGAACTCGGATTTTTATCAGGCGCTGAGGTCTGGTAAGGCGGATGTGGTGACGGATACCATTCAAGAAGTGACAGGCTCCGGCATTGTGTTAAAGTCCGGAAGAGTTCTCCATCCAGACATCATCGTCACAGCGACAGGTCTAAAGATCCGCTTCGCCGGCTCGATAGCCCTGTCCGTGGACGGCCGGCGCGTGGACCCCAATACGAAGTTCGCTTTCAAGGGCTGCATGCTGCAGGACATGCCGAACATGGCGTACGTGTTCGGGTACGCCAACGCGTCGTGGACGCTCGGCGCGGAGGCGACGAGCTCGTTTTTGGTGAGGTTGTGGCGCGGGATGGAGAAGAAGAGGCTGAGGGCGGTGACGCCGCTGCTCGAAGATCCGAATATGAAGCCGAATGCGATGATGCCGCTCAAGTCTACGTATGTGCGGAACGCGGCAAAGGTGTTTCCCAAGGCTGGGTCGGGGCGGTGGGCCCCGAGGAAGAATTATTTGATGGATTTGTGGACGGCTATGACGAGTGATGTGTTTGCTGGGATGAAGGTGCAATGATTGTAGGCTCGTGTTGTTCAGTTGACTGAGATGAAGGATGCGATCTCGTGCCTAGTTGAAAGAGCGTTTCGGGAGGTTTGGATGTTTGTGCCTCATCATATAAGCGTTGGCCAAGGGACCGGAATCGACAGAGTGTCTATCAAAGAACTGCTGGTCTGTAAATGCTCTAAGGGTTTCTTGAGTCTATCCATCTAGAAAGCAACCAACCCTTGCTTGATTTAGACAAATACCCTCTATCAATGCTGTCTCTAGCCCATCTGTACCCTTTACTCCGGTTGCCCATCAGCCCAAACGACAATATTCTTCGGCGGATCCTCCAGCCCATTGAAGAAAGCAACAACATCCTTGTTACTATACCGCATACTGAAGTGCGTCAAAATAAACGTAGTCTTGGGCCACTTGCGCACCACCTTGTCGAGGTCCTTCCACTTGGTATGCTTCGTCTTCTCCGCCTGCGCATCATGCTCATCATACAGAAAACTGCACTCGGTAATCACCACCGGGATCCCCTGCGCCAACCACTCCGGCTCCGCAGCCAGCGTCGACGCCGTCGTATCACCAAGGAACGCAAACACGGGCGTCGTCACCGGCGCCGTCAGCTCCACGCCCGACTGCCGCAGGCTCTTGAGCTCCGGGCCGGGGAGCGAGGTATACTCGGCCTTGAGCTTATGCGTCGTGGTCCGGAAGACGTAGCCCACGGCGGGGACGTTATGGTCGCACTGGAACACGAGGGCGTCCATGCCCTTGAGGCGCCGCAGCGGCACCACGTCACCGTGTCTGACGGCCGTCGTGACGTGCGTACCCAGAAACGCTCTCTCCCCTTCCGTCCTGCCCTCCTCATCGGTACCCTTGCCGTCGACTTTGAGACCCACGGCCTCGGCGTCGTTGCTAGTTGTGAGACCGCCGCGGTTGAGGAGGGTCTTTGCGAGGCAAAAGTCGTCAAAGGCCTTCTTCATCTCGACGGGGCAGAAGATGTCTGGTGGGTCTTCGCGCTTGGTGAAGGCCGGGGCGAGGAGGCAGTGGTCTGAGTGGCCGTGGGTGATGAAGATGTGTTTTGGACGCAGGTTGTTCACGACGAGGCCTGCGTCGAGAAGGAGGTTGAGTTGGGGGATGACGAAGGAGGTGTGCCATGCTGCTCTAGACTTGCCGGTCAGGACGTATTGATGGTAAGGTTTGGGGAAGCGCCATTCGAGGATCTCGGACCGGCTTGATTGCGGCAGAGGGGTTGCGAATGTGGCCATTGTGGTGTCGGCTGGGAGTAGTATCTTGGCTGGGTGGGAAGGGGGAGTCGAAAAGAGCGTCGTCGGCGTTGGGACCGGGGCCGGGGAAATCTGGGCCCGGGGTAGATCCGGGGTAGTTGTAGCTGCTGCGTTTCTTGATAGTACGGATAGAATGCTCTTATTACTGCGAAGACTGGAATATCCTGTGTGGAGTTTATGTTGCAAACTCTTAAACATGCAATACAGGCAAAGGGTTTTGTCCCGGGAAGAGCCTTTGCAAGTGCTTTTGCGCTACAATATGGTACCTGGGAGGTTCCCTTGATGCCGATGACTCTTGGACTTGATTGAGGATGACTCTATGCTGTGGCTCAATTAGTTGGTTGCCACAGTCTCGAGGCTGACCGATAATAGACAACAAAACGTACCTTGTCCCAAATTGGCAGATGATGAATGTATTACGGGTCCAACTTTGCCCAAGCAATAGGTCAGACGGTATGGCTAACGATGTCCCATTCGACTTTCACCTGACGGAAGTCACAGTTGAGGCATTGAGTGAGCGCGACGCTGGCAGAAATTTTGCTGACGTCATCACGAGCACCCCTTAAGTCCGATGGATCGGACATTGTGCTACCTGCCTTCATCGTCGTTCTGTATTCCGCCTTGCTGTAACTGGTCACGTCCATCACCAAGGTACGGTGATCATACCGAGTACTCGATTTCTCAACTGGCATTGATACAGAGTTCAAGACCGCGCTGCAATGCGCAATATGTTTGGGGGTTGCTGCGCCCATCGCGTGGCTGCTGTTGAGGCACTCCCACATTGGCGCGATAACACGCCCGCTGCACGATTTGTAGGGCAGGTTACTCCATCAAGGACAACTTCAAAAGAGCTAGATATCCTGCCGTAGGGATCGGGGTTTCGTCCAAGACTCTGACGTCCAGCTAGCCTTTCGCACTTTCGCACCTTCGCACTTTTGGGCAAGAAACGGCTAAGTCCTATCAGCGAAATGGGTGAGTTTCCAAATGCCTGGTTGAGGTGCCTTTAGGTAAAGCATTCGACCATGAGAACTCACAGCCTCTTTCTGAATGGTCAGAGTCCTTGACTAAACCCAATTAGGCGATTTTACCCGGCGTTTGCTGAGTGGCCAGAACAGTCACCGCTCGCCCGAACCTGGCAGCGCCTGCGGTTCCGAGCAGGGCCCCACCAAAACAGCCGTGCAAACCGACAACTCCGGTCCCGGAGAGTGGGTCCTGGAGGGTCCACCTCTGATAAGGACACCCGGAGGTTGAGGTCACCAGAGCTTATCGTCTAGGGTTTCCCCATCCAGCCCCTCGTCCCGCCTTCCCCCCCACTTTCTTCCATGTGTCTCTCTCCCCTCCACGTCTCTTCATCTGCATTACTTTCCAAGACCAACGATTCCTTCATACTCCCCAGCGCTTGAGCTAACCTGGAGTTTCATGGAGTTCTCTCGAGTCCCGGGAGACGAATCGTCGGAAATGCGCAGCTAATGCACAGTCTGTGTGCGACTGTCCTTATCGGGTCGACCAGACGAAACGTTGACCACGCCTTACAACTCCATTCATCCTATCCTGTACCTCAATTCCGGAATACTAAGAAGCTAAAGCTAAAGCTCTTATCAAACCAATTCAGACGTCTCCACCGTGTCCAATGGCTTGACTTATCGAATCGCAACGGCTTACAGCGCCCTTTGCCAATTGCCAATGGGCGTGACGCGCCACATCGCTTGTGCAAGGTACGGTGCACCTCGTTTGTCGTCTGAACGGCCCCCGAGCAATACCCCAGGTCGCTTTACTGCGTAGGCTTGCATTGCCTGATCCGGCTGGTCTTGGAGGGACGAGTCGCGCATCGGATGAGAACAAGAGAGCGCGCCTATCTTGCGCGCTCCTGGTCGGAACAAGAGGGGTGAGGGGCCTCACTCTGAGGATCCCCTTGATCGATTTGGAGATATAAGCTGTAGCTTTATCTAGAGCTCGACTTCCCTCAATCCCCAATTGCAATTCTCTCGATACCCTCCACACTCGCCATTGACCTCTCGCAACACCTCTCTCGGTGACAAGGAAACCTGTATACCCATACACACAGAGGATCTACACAACCACAGAGACATACACAATGGCACCGCCGCACCCTCTAGATCCCCTCTCTTCCGCAGAGATTGAAAAGGCCATCGCCGCCGTCACAAAGGCTCACGGCGACGTCTTCTTCAACGTCGTCTCTCTCCACGAACCCCGCAAGGCCGAATTGACAAGATGGCTCGCCTCGCCCACGACAACACCCCTCCCCGCCCGTATCGCCGACGTCGTCGTCATCGCAAAGGGTGGCAAGGTCTACGACGGCCTCGTTGACCTCGCCTCGGGCGCCATCACCAAGTGGGAGCTCATGCAAGGCGTGCAGCCCATCGTCAGTCCACCTTTACCACGATTCTTGCACCTCCGAGTCCAAGACTAACACCACAATCACAGATCACAATGGAAGAACTCCAAATCGTCGAACACATCTGCCGCACCGACCCCAAAGTCATCGAGCAGTGCGAAATCTCCGGCATCCCCAAATCCGACATGCACAAGGTCTACTGCGACCCCTGGACAATCGGCTACGACGAGCGCCACGGCAACACCATCCGCCTCCAGCAGGCCCTCATGTACTACCGCCCAGACCCGGACACCTGCCAGTACCAGTACCCCCTCGACTTCTGCCCCATCTACGACGCCGACAAGCAGGCCATCATCGCCATCGACATCCCCACCGTCCGCCGGCCCCTCAGCAAGGCCGCCCCCGTCGACTACACACCCGCCGCCGTGAAGAAGCAGTCCGGCGGCTACCGCACCGACCTCAAGCCCATCAACATCACCCAGCCCCAGGGCGTCTCCTTCCAGATGCAGGGCCGCCAGATCGCCTGGCAGAACTGGAACTTCCACATCGGCTTCAACTACCGCGAGGGCATCGTCCTCAGCAACATCACCTACAATGACAAGGGCAACGTCCGCCCCATCTTTTACCGCCTGTCCCTCGCGGAAATGGTCGTCCCCTACGGAAACCCGGAGCACCCTCACCAGCGTAAGCACGCTTTCGACCTGGGCGAGTACGGCGCCGGATACATGACAAACAGCCTCTCGCTCGGCTGCGACTGCAAGGGCGAGATCCACTATCTCGACGCCGAGTTCCCCACCCGCAACGGCGGCGTGCGCACCATCAAGAACGCCATCTGCATCCACGAGGAGGACAGTGGCATTCTCTTCAAGCACACTGACTTCCGCGACGACTCTGTCATTGTCACCCGCGGCCGCAAGCTCATCATCCAGCAAATCTTTACCGCCGCAAACTACGAATACGCAATCCAATGGATCTTCCACGTAGGTTCCCTTTACTGAAGAATACCAGAGACGAGAGACTAACACCCCACAAGCAAGACGGCACAATCCAGCCCGAAATCAAACTCACCGGCATCCTAAACACCTACTCCCTCAACCCAGGCGAAGACACAAAAGGCTGGGGCACCCAAGTCTACCCGGGCGTCAACGCCCACAACCACCAGCACCTCTTCTGCCTGCGCGTCGACGCCAACATCGACGGCCCCCGCAACACAGTCTTCGTCGCCGACGCCGTCGCCTCCGACGCGCCCGTCGGGTCCCCCGAGAACTTTTACGGAAACGCGTTTTACGCCAAGAAGACCAAGCTCGACACCACGGGCAAGTCAAAGACCGACTACGACGGGTCGACGAGCCGCACGTGGGAGATTGCGAATACGGATAAGCTGCATCCGTACAGCGGGAAGCCGGCGAGTTATAAGCTTGTTAGTAGGGAGGTTCCTGGGTTGTTGCCCAAGGAGGGGTCGTTGGTGTGGAAGCGCGCTGGTTTTGCACGACATGCTGTGCACGTCACAAAGTGTGAGTTTCCCTCCCCCCTCTACCTCTCTCCTTCTCATTATTTCATCACATCTTCGGCTGGAATTAAAGCTGACCAACCCCAACAGACCGCGACGACGAACTCTGGCCCGCGGGCCGCCACGTCCCCCAAACCTCGGGCGAGCCCTCCTCCGGCATCCCTGAATGGATCGGCGACGGCACAGAGTCCATCGAGCAAGAGGACATTGTCCTCTGGCACACCTTCGGCGTCACCCACATCCCCGCGCCCGAGGACTTCCCCATCATGCCCGTGGAACCCATCACCCTCCTCCTGCGGCCGCGCAACTTCTTCGCGAACAACCCCGTCATGGACGTCCCGCCTAGCTACTGCAGCACGCCGAGCCAGGTCGCGGCCGGCAAGGGCGCGCTGGAGGCGGCGGATGGGGTGAGCAAGCTTGCTTTTACGGGCGGTGCGGCTGCTGGGGAGTCGTGCTGTGCGCCGGGGAAGAGCAAGTTGTGAGGTGGTGGCGGTTTCTGTACTGAGGAATTTTGGATGAAGCGTTTTAGATAGATATTTAGGCTTGCACATAGTATTGGATAGCAATTTTATCAAACAGCACATGGCTGCTTTTCTTGCGTACTGTATGATAGAGTTCTATCCTCTCCAGACCCGTGGCGCTTTCCCAGGGCCTTATTCCAATCGAGAACAAGATTTCCGCCCATCGCCCATACCCGCAAAGAACCGTTGAGTATGATAGCGTAGTGAGACTGTACGATAATGAGAGTCGATATTGGCCGCTCAAGACACGCGTCAACTAGACACCAAAGGCAGAAGATCGTGATTAGTCTCTTGCACTCCGTTAGCATGAGCACTCTGACACTCGGGTGCGGCACGTACAACGCAGATGAGGAAACTTGTGATAATGCCATCTATGTCGGACAAAGTAGACAGCAGGAAACGTCTGGAGTCCGCCTTGTGAATGATATTCGGTCTGAGGTCTTAGATAAGCTCTGGCTTGATCGCCGCATCAGGAGTATTGCCGCTGGTCTCTTGGACTTTGGGGGTAGTGTTCTCGGGAGTAGCAGCATCCTCTGGGTCAGGATCCTCGGAAGCGGCTTCCGTAGCTTCTTTGGCGAATCGCAGACGAACCGAGAGGCGGCTGAACAGCAAACTCGTCTCGGGATCAGAAGCAGACGCTCCATCGAGTAAAAGGTCATCCGCGGGCAGGGTCTGAGGAGGTCCATGGGCGGCGTCCATGGCAGCGATGTATCGCTTGAGGAATAGCTTCAGCTCGTCTTCATTGGCAAAAAGATTCATCATAACTTGTGTGTCAACCCTGTTATTCCAAGTACATTAGCCCGGATATGTTTAAAGTTGGTATAGTATCAGGAAAGAAAGAAGGAAGGGGTGACACGAACACTTTCTCCTTTACCGCGCGGTCAACGATGGCCTTGCAGCGACGCGCTTTCTCCAGGGACATCTCCAATATGGTGATCAGTGGCTGCGCATCATCTCCAATGACAGGGTAGATGATCGACATGGTGGATGCGGCTAGGTTGGCATGCCTGAGCGCTTCTTCCGCGTGCTCAACATATCCCTCGGGGACATGAGTGAGCAAAGAATGGAGAAGGGATTGTTCTCTGGAAAGAAGCCCTGATTCCAGAAGAAGCGCGGCCGCAGCTTGCTGCACAAGGGCGCGTGGAGCTTCAGAACGGGACAGCGTCATGACGGAGTTGAACCGCGATTCGAGTTCTTCTGCGAGGTATCAACATGTGGAAGGTACGGGGCGAGGCAATTGGGCTGGCTTACCTCTGCCGAAATTGGGTGGCTCTGTTCCGTTGGGAGTAGCCATGGCTGCAGAGTGTACGTCGTGGTGATAGCGTTCGGGGCGAGAGAGAGAGAGAGAGAGAGAGAGGAGTGTACCAAACTCCAGTTGATGACGTTGAAAAGGTGAGGAGGGCGAGAAAAAGAGGAAGAGAAAGAGAATCAGAAGGAACCCCCCCGCCCCCCCAAATGAGGCAGCATCATCTCAATGGAAGGACCTAGCACAGGCAACCGTACCTGCCGACTTTTGAATTCAGGGTCGCGTTGGAAATCTTTGTTTTGAATATCGGTGGATGAGACAAACAAAGACATGATGAATTCGCTTTCTGGAAATACGAGTGGCGTGGCTCTGAGGAGCGTGCCTCATAGCCAACTGGCCCTGTGAAGCTGCCAACTCACCATTGATCTAATTGAGAACAAAACGGTCAACTTCGTATTAGAGCGTGCACATCAGATCATGTGATGGTATATAATCAATTCGACAATAAGTTTGTCGCATCGTATGGCTAAATCCCTCAAGCAGATATTCCTCGCTTCCTGGAGCCATCTAGGGCTTCCACCTGAAAGCAGGGTGCTTCCAATCCAAATCACTCTCTTCTTGTCTCGATAAGCCCTGCAACTCGGCCTCGACGTTTCGGGCCTCACGTCTACGGTTGTCTCGCTTCATCCAGAACAACGTGAGAGTCGAGGTAATCAAAATCATGCTGCAGGTCGCCAGGTTCAATCCGTTGCCGATTGGGTAGTTGGGTGCGTCCCATGGCAAGAAAGCCCACTAAAGCCACGAGTTAGTATACAATCAAAGGCTATAATGGGGAAGGGGGGTAGGCTTACAGTTGAAATGAGGCCTCCCACGTTGCCAAACATAACGTTTGTTCCAATCGCTGCGCTACGTGCCGTGTCGGACACGACATTCGCGGCGACCTGGGCGTTTGTGAGGGCGCCGAGGGCGAATACAGCTGACGTGATGAGGAAAGTGGCACCGTAGCGCACTGAGAGGTCCTTTGAAGCCAGGAACATGATATAACCAATCATTGCCAGCGGTGCAGACATCATGAAGAAGATCTGTCGGCGATCGAGGCGCCAGCTGAGCAGTGGCAGCAGGACGGTGAAGAAGGCTCCAACAACGTAGGGAGGGACGGTGAAGAGTTGTTGGCGCTGAACAGTCGCCGTGGGGTAGATACCCCTGACGATCGTTGGCAGGAAGAAAGCGAGGCCTTGCACAGTGACGTTGTTCAACAGGAAGACAAACGATGTTGCCAACGTAACAGGTGCGAAAATTCCCCGACGGAGCTTCTTGGTGTCCATCTTGTCGAGGACTTGAGTCTGACCAACACGCTCAGAGCGAACACGGGTCTCGGCGAGATCCTTTTCGGCCTCTGTGAGCCAGCGAGCAGAGGCGGGGCGGTCGGTAAGGGTAATGAAGCCGATGAGCGCCAGCCCAATTGTGATGATTCCTTCGATGGCAAAGATCATGCGCCATGTATGGATGCTTCCGAATCCATCGAGGCGAAGAATGGCAGAGGCCAAGAGACCACCGAAAGCTCCAGCCAAAGGCGCCATGACAATGTACAAGCTGAGGCGGAAGGCGAGTTCGGATCGTCGGTACCAGCGGGACAGGTAATAGGCAATACCTGGCAACATTCCAGCCTCAAAGATGCCGAGAAGGAATCGGACTGCCATGAGCTGTGGGACGGTGTGGACGAAAGCAGTGCCGACTGAGCAGATGCCAAAGAGCAAGGTGGTAAGGGGGAGGAACCATCCGGGCCCCATGACCTTGCAGAGGATGTTGGCGGGAATTTCGAATAGAATGTAGCTGATGTAAAAGACACTGAGTGTTCCATTGTAGTCGTAGCCTGCCATGCCGAGGTCCTTCTCGAGACCTGCAATGCGAGCGTTGCCTGGGGAAGTTGTAAGTCGTTGTCAACATTGTAACGAGCCGAAAAAAACAAACCAATGTTGGCTCTGTCAATGAAGCAGAAGAGGTAAAGCAGAGCGACCGTTGGCACAATCATGAGATCGATCTTTAGCCTAAGCTTTCTCTCTACGGTCGGGTCGTACGCAAGAGACTGCTCGGTGTGCCTGACGATAAGGGGTCAACCAGGTTTCTGGATAGTAGTGCGCTGCTGTACGTGTCTTACTTTTCCGGGTCAAGCTTCGCGTCGTACGAGGACCTTTGCGCCATCTTGGCGTTGATGTCGTCGATGTTCTCGACGGTGGGCTTATCGTTACTCATGATGAAAGGAGAGCGCGGTGCGTCGCTCAGCCGAATGCCTTTGTGAGCGAAATGTCGACTTCGGCGTGGTGTCGAAGAGGTAACCTGGGGTAGGGAAACTCTCGAATCTGGCAGGGGATGAAGGACCCTTTTCAATGTCGAGACGACTGACTCAACAAAACACGGTCTCAAGGGGGCCAGCTGGAAATCCCGTAGGCTGGTCCAGGCTGGCGAGATAGATATCTCATTAGCGACCCTTGTCTTTCCCCCTTGTCCCAGATTGGAGGTGGAGGCGTGGCACCTAGCTACCCCAGACGGCTTATCCCACACACCAAACAACGCGGGGTAGACATCCACAAGAGCGGACGCCTCTTTTCACATCCAATCTGCATCGGGTGCGAGCTCGGGAAACGGCACCAAGCCAGCACCAAGCAACACTTGCAGGACCGCGGCCCATGTTATCGGATCCATTCCACTCCCACATCGGGGGACATGCCAGCCAGTGAGGAAGATGCTCACTCTGATGACGTGTTGAGATGGTAATTTGGGTCTGCTACGACCGTTGCAACGATGCCAGTCTCAGGATTGGCGAACAAGCAACAATATTGCAAGATTGGCGATGTGATGAGATGGATGTATGTTTACGCGCTGCAGCAGCTGCTTCTTCGAGGTAACTGCAGCAGCAGACACGAATATTTGGCCGAATCTTGTCTTGCAGCCGTGCCGATAAGCAGATGTCAGAACTGCAGCTTCCCGAATAGAGCATCACATTGCGCCAGCTTCTGTGCCTCTCTCCCTCCAGACCCGTCAACAACGGCTTAGGTCGCAAGCAGCCCTTGTCCAGCCTTCCATGTCGACTAGGCTCAACTCGGCGTAACTGGGGAGGAATGCAGATCACGCTCCATTCCCGACACGTTTCGGGAGTCAATATCGGCACTCCTAGTCGGCAACCAGAGCACGAGCTTAGATTACAGGCCGCGGACTTTAGATTCGGGCGTGCATCTGTACGGGAGAGAAAACCACACCGGGCACAAGTTGCAGCTGCCGTTCGTGCGTGCGTGCGTGGGGCGGATGCGAACTAGGTAGCTGGACCTTGTCAAGCACGGGGTTTGAGCGCCGCATCATATATCAGATGCAAGACCTCCGGAGAGCCGATTGGAAGATGTCGCGAATGGTTGAGTTGGTTTTCCCATGAACGCGCGCGGCTTCATCCGCTATTGCGACGTGCCAACCTTGGAGTCGTGGTGATGGAACTCAAATTGGGGTCCGGCGGAGTCTAGTCGACGTCTAGTCGTCCGTGATTGTGAATAGGCTGGGACACCACGTTGCTGTCCCCATACCCCTCTTGCTTTCGACAGGTCGACCCCCAACTTCCATTTCTCCAACTTTGCTTTTGGTGTTCGGATGCTGTGGCCAGCTGATCTTTGGCTTGTTGAGGCGTTTTGCTGACTTCTGCTTGCAGTGAAGACCGCTCTGAAATCCGGGATATCCGCTTCTCGGAAAGTCCGCCAAAACATATTCATCCCTGAATCCGCAATAGGTCAATGGATTGTTGAGTATTCCGTTAGCTCGGAATGATCGGTGATATAAGAAGACGCCAACTTCCTCATCGCGACGGCGTGCTTTCCCCATCGGATCTGGATTCATCGACTATCGGAAAGGGGGTTCGGAAGTCCTCTCTGTGCGACTTGGCCTACCGGGGTTGGTGCTCTGCGCCGTACGGAAAGCGTCCACGGCTTGTGTCAACGGGTTCCGAGGTTACAAGGCAGACCATGAGCGTCTTCTCTTGGCAAATGAAATGCCTCATGTTGTTTCGCGGGGTTTGTTAATTTTTTGGCGCCATCCGAGTGAACAATTGATGTTGTCTATGGCAGATTCCGCGAACTCTTGCCCAAACGGTCATTGACCGGGCAAGGCAATGTCGTTCACCAAGATGGATGATTGCCCACGGTCGAGACCTCGTCAAGCTAGGTATAGCATCCGATGGGAGGAGCTGATCCGGGGAAGAAAAGAGACGCATCCGAAGCCCAGAACCTGGAGAGGCGGGAAAAGCTAAGCTTAACGTCGATAGCGTCGAATCCCGCCAGATTGGGCCGTGGCTGTACTCCGTACATAGTCCCACGCGAGATGGCGTAGATTCATCGCCTGGAGACACACACACTGAATGCATCGACTAAGGCCGCTCGTGTGTTCCTTGAGGCCTCAAACTGCATCGAATTCCGAAGATGTGGTCGCCCAAACGGTCGTGCGAGGGCTGTGGGCGAATATCTATCACATCAATGGTCTCTTTGCTCAACGTGCTATGCTTGACTCGAGATAGTTGGTGCTGGGTAGGTGCCTTGGCTGTTGGAGGGAACGGCTTGGATTGAAGTTCCTTTGAGAGTTTTGGTTTGAGAAAGCAACAGCCAGGTAATGGCCCTTTCCGGCGGCGGTCCGGTCTAGAATCCGCGGTCCATCTGGGGAGTCCCCAGAACAGTACAGTCTGATGGAAACGAACGATAGCAATTGAGTCGTGGATTCGTGGTTAATGGGTTGAGAACTTTGAGAGGGGGGGGCATCGCCTGGGCTCTGTCCTTGTGGACCAATAGAATGCCAGTACCGAGTACGTACCGGAGTCACGATTTGGTTGGACAAACACGACCCACCATGGCGGGCCTCGCACGTGCATTTTCTTATCTTATCCCGTATGACATAAGCAGGTACGTACCGGAACAGATAACGCACCTCAGGTTCAAGGGACGGGAAGGAGCAGACAGCAAAGTACGTATTCGTACAATGGTTAGACCCGAAGGAGAACTCGACGACTGGCACCGCAT